CCCCACACACACACACGCCCTGAGATTTTGCAAGGGATGGTGAGGGGAGCTGAGGGAAAGCTGGGCAGGTATTTGAGAAACCAAAAGCTTAAAGAAGAGGAAGAGGGTGGGGAGCTACTTCCACATCACGCTGGATTTCCGCTCTCATCCGGCTTCAATCTACATTCTCTGCGAGGCTTTGAGAAGAGATGGGAGCTGAACGGGCAGCCCACCTTCTGTCCTGCCCTAGGCTGACTTTCGTGACCCTTTCTGGGTTCTTCCCTTCCTGGCTCCTTCTTGTGCTCGGAGAGGATTCACAGGCCCTCCAGTCTCCTCTCTTCCATCTCTGACCTTTCTTATTTGCCCATCTCATTTCACTTTCCTTCTGTTCCTTCGATTTCTCGTCATTCCTCCTCATTCGTGTACCCAGACCCCTCCCTCACAACCATTTATATCTCACATCTCTCTTACTCTGTCACCTCTGCTCTACTTCTCATTTGCCCTCTTCTACCCTTCCATCTGTGCTCTTTCCCTTTCCCAGACCACTGTTCTTGTCTCATCTGAGTCTGTCACCTGGTCCTATATCCTTAGCTGATTTTCCTCAGTTCCTCTTCATGTCCTTATTTTCCAAGTTTGCCCTTTCTTTCCATTTCCCTTTCCTCTGCTGCCATCTTTCCCAGCCTTTCAGAATTATGTTTACCTCCTTTGCAAAGGGTCCAGGTCTGGAGTTCCAGTCCCACCCTCCTCCACACATTCTCAGTTCCTGGTGCTCAGTTTCAGTATCTTTGGGTCATTTTGAGAAGCTTGGGATTTCAGGAGGGGACAGGAGCTGCGGTGTGTATTAAAGGTCAGGATGTAGATGGGGTAGAAGGCTAGGGTTTGGGAAAAGATATCTTTGGTGTATGTGCATTCCCATATTTGGTTATCATCATTACTCTTATTTTCTTAATAAAAAAAATACACTGATCAATCATCATTTAGTATTTGAGTGCTTGAATAAACCATCTTTTGGTCCCTTGGTGTACACACCTCCCAATTTCTCCACCTGACTCCTCTGTTTCTCAGTCTCCCTCTCCTCAGAAATCTTGGAGCCCCACCCAGGTTTTTCCTTGCCAAACTCATCTTTCTCTCAGATCTTTCCATCTCTCAATCTGTTTCTCTGACTCACTTGCTGATGTCTTTAGCGATCTCTG